AAATAAATAAAATCTTTAAAAAAAAAAAAAAAAAAAATCTGACTCTTGATTGCTAATTCAAAATTCTTTTTATAAATATGGCTTATCTAGTTAATATCTCATAGGTAAAGACTTAAGCAAAAATGCAAATCTATTTTTGTCTACCATAAATTCATGATTTACTTATTTAATTAAGGATTTCTGTCTTGATTATGTCAGGAAAAGAAAGTGTTAACTATAAAATGAGTCATGAAATTTAAAAATATACTTGTAAAAATGTGTTTTTATTAGGCACAACCAATAGTTTTAACCAGGGCAAAACATCTTAATCAGATTATTAGCTGTAATAATGGAGTCATTCTTTTGTTCTATTTGCACTCATTAGACCTAGACTTACTTTAAAAAATCTTACCTCCTTATAAGCTACTATTAGCTTATAACACTAATTATATGAACATATTAATGTTATTCGATCTGTTCTTCTAGTCTATGACCTTCAAGAAGAATCACCTTTAGGACTGGACATAAAGACATAAACACACAAACATAGAGCAAGACGTGCAGCCTTCATACGTAACGATTGAAGGAAGGGGCTTTGGCATCAGAAAGGCTGGGTCCCAATCCTGACTCGGGCACTTTTTGGCCAGTGTGACTTTGGAAAAAATTTTTCTTAAGGCTCAGTTTCCTCATCTATAAAATAGGAATAATAACAACTACATCAAAAAAGAGTGTGTGTGCGTGTGTGTGTGTGTCTGTGAACAAGTGAAATAATGCACGTGAAGTGCTTAGCACAGTGCCTGGCCATAGAAAGGGCTCAAGAAACTTTACATATACTCGACAAGGCAGACTTTTCTACATCAGAAAAAAAAAAAAGCAGTGCTTATGTAACCTTAATATTCACGTGCAGATCTTTGAGCATTAAACAGTGCTTAGTAGGCTTGTTGTGAACACTTCACAAAGGACCCTTGTACCCACCATTTCACCTGAGTTTCTTCTCTTTATACAATACCCATTTGGCCCGGTGTATTAAAAAAGAATTAGAAAACGTGGTGATAATATTTGGCAGAATCAAATGATAAGCTGAAACACTCAGGATATAAGGGTATGTAGAGCACACATGGTCACCCGTGCTCTCACATGTAAATGAGGGGGCAGGGGTGGATACAAAGGCCATGCGAGGAGAAAACAGCACAGGGTGGAGCGGGACGAGACACGCTGTACTCTGGACACCTCTGGCTTGTCCATTTCTCTAGATTTTGACATGATCTTGTTAACACCATCCATCCTGCTATTTAAACTGAGTATTGTTTCATGTGCCAATGAGTAGGGAAGGGAAGGAACAAATTTCGGAATCCTATTGTACTACTACCATTCTCTTCTATTTCATGGTTTCAAATCCAAATATATCATCTAGGCAATGGGCCAAGTTGTCCATGTTCTAAAATAAGACCCATTCTATCACCTAGTCCGAGTTTCGGAGCCATCATAAACTCCCAGGCTGTGGACAGCAACCTCGGACCGGGGCAGACTGCTCCAGATTGTTTTGGTCATTCTTGGGACAATCATTGCCCCACGAACATATTCACCAGAACATCATCATGGAAAACCCCCAAATTCAAATGGAACAATGTAGCCAAGTTGGCATGGGTAAAACATTTGACAGGGGAAAATGTGTATCAGGGTCTCCCTCTCCCAGCCCTGGGTAGCCCTAGCTCCCAGACACTAACAGCTCTTGAGTCAGGTAAGGGCGAACACCACGGGGCGGCCATGCAAGGCCAAGGAAGAGGAACATTAGGGAAGGCTGAAACTGCCCCTAATGAAAACCAACTGGCTGTGGAAACACCTATAGTATATAAAGCTCCGCTTATAAGAAAAAAATAAATTAGTTCTGTGTCCCTTTCACACTGAGCTAAAGAAACCACTTTATGGTGTAGATCTGCTGAGTCCTTCTGTTTTGCATTTGAAAGAAAAGGAGTTGAAAATCAGAGTGAGTATAATACTTGAAGTATCAGATTTGCATTTCATCAGCTGCCCATATGGAGCGCAGAAGTTCTTGCTTTTGAAATTGTATATATTTATGCTCCTCAACCCCCAGAGGCTGTCTGGACTAAACATTAGCTCCAATTCATAACAATTTTGGTTTCTCTTAATGTGGCCCGCAAAGAGACTTGAGACTTTAATGGATGGTACTTAAGAAAATCTACCTGTCAACATACTGCCTTGCACGTGGCCTGCTGGAGCCGACAAAGAAACCGTACCTTTGGCGAAAGAGGAGAAGGGCACGCTGCCCTCCGGGATGGTTCTATAGGTTGCCGAGTTCTTAGTATCATCTGTCATCCACAGAATGAGTTGCTAATCTCTGTAATTTAAGGACCCTACCAATTCTAACCTTTTAATTGCTTTTAAAGCTTGGCAGTGTTCTGGGTGCTGGAGGGTGACAACTTTTGAGACATCCACTTCAACTCTCTTTACAAGGCAGGAAACAAACGGACCATTTTAAAACAGTATTTAACACTACCTTGCTCTACTCAAATATTTCAAAAATTTGCCAAGAGAATTGGAACATCTAGGCGTAATTAAAATAAGTTAAGGATGAATGGCTACATCAGCCGTATCTCTGCTTCAGTGGATTTAAGCCAAATCCGCCTGCTTTAAAGTAGCTTTTTGTGGTTTACTATACCCTGGCTACCATGTTAAGTGAGCATTTGGAAAAAAAGTACGGCAGAACACTTCATAAAAGTGGATTTTAGGTGGGTTCATTTTGCAGTACAAACCAGCTTTCAAGTTTCTTTCTGTCTTATCTTTTTTTTTTTGGAAAGGAGAAGTCGGTTTTAGGAAATAAAGCACAGTGAATTTTAAATTGCCACATGTCGCCTATACACAAGCAGTAGGAAAGCTGTTGCTCACTCGGTCAAGGGCCTGAGGAATGGGTTCCCATCCTGAGGCACATCATGTCCATTCCACTCTCTTCTCCAGTCTGTCAGAGGCAGAGTCCCTGGTGGCCTGGAGTTTCTGATTCAAACGCACACCTTCCAGGCAGTCTCTTTCCAGGAGCTGTGAGTGACCCTGGCCACTCACTCTGTGAGCCCCATGCAAAGAACCTCCACTTCCTCTCCTGCCTGGCCCAGGATGGGAAGGGCGTTCCTTCTGCCCGCCTTCTCGGCTCTAGGCGGGGCCATGGCAGGTGCCCCTGACCAAAGGGTCCATTAACTTTTGCAGGGTGAGGGGAAGGAAGAGCTTTAAAGGATAACCACACACCGCAGACGTGCGCTCATTAAAATACACCCCATGGAATATGCCACAGGCTTTCACTGTGGTGGAATCTGGTATAATGACTGTATTGCTAGGTGTTAAATTCCTAGTCAGCAAGAAAAGAAACAGAAAGGGTCGCCAGCCTTTGGGAATGAAATAAGCAGAAAAGAAGAAAGATAGTAAGTTTGGAAAGGTAGGAAATCTTGACATCAACTTGGGAACGTTCCTATTCATTGTCCCCACGCATAAAATCAGTCCCCCGAGTCCTACTGAGGGTTTCCTCACCTCTCTCAATTCTGTCCCTCATCAGGTCTCACCTGGACGACAGAAAGAGCCTCTATCTGATGGCTGCTGTGCTTCCAGCTCTCAACCCCTTCCAACCTATCCTGCTAATGCCGAAGAGATCAAACTTGGAACCTTATTAAAACAAAGTGTTTTCCTCCTGAACAATTTGCACCAATTCCCAATCCCATGAGTATATAAACAGGCCACTAGCTAAGCGGCTACCACATGCAGGCAACCTGCCAGGGGCTGCCATGCACTAGGTCTAATTCTCACAAGCCCACTGCAAGGCTACCACTTGCATCATCTCTACTTTACAGATGGGGAAGGCATGGCTGAGCCTGGGCTGACTCTGCCCTCGCCAAGGCTGCAGGCAGGGGTCTCCGGCTCTCCTGCCTGGCCTCACACGATGCAATCAGTAACGGCTGTAACTGCAGGGCTCTCTTTATTAGCTGTGCTTACATCCCTCTGGAGCCTTTGCTCCAGCTGCACGCCTCCTGGGAACTGTCTCCTGCCCCCCCCGCCCATGTGACTGGTATCACCCTTCGAGACCCACCGTCTGGTGCCCCTCTCCCTCAGCTGAGCCCCCGTCTCCTTCCAGTCAGACCACTCTTAGGAAAGGCGGAGAGTGACAGCGAGGTAAACCACTCACTGGTTAAATGACTAAACAAAAAACAAAATAAAATCAAGTCTGCTTCAATTCTTTTACTTTTATCACAGCACATGCAACACGTCATCCCTGTGCTTTCCTGACGAGAGAGTAAAACTATTGATCATGGAGCAGAAAAGCAGGTGGGACTGAAGCCACTATGGGAGAGAAGGTTCTAGCACCTGATCAATAAGGCTCCATTACCATAAGGTCTACTGGGACTCACTTTGTTACGCACAATACACTTGTTAATTATGCTCATCGTAATACTATATATTCATTAAATTGGATTTTAATAGATAATTTAACAGCTACGAGGCAAGTCCTTAAAATTGTCTTCTAGAGAGAGTTCAGAATCATTCAAGTTCTAAGTCACCTTAGGCTCTGACACTTTTGCAGTAACAAGGCAATTACATACCACAAATATGAAATAATTCCTTCAATAATGGGACGGGAAATTTGCCAGAAGGAGTTGTAACCTTATCTATAACTAGTGTAATTACCCTGGTTGGCACCTGGTGCTGAGAATAATCCATCTATGAGGAACTAGGTCAGTTTTTACTCCTATGAGCACTTAAATACTATCGAAATTCAGAGTGCTAGATCCCTTTGTAAAGTTATTTTAGTGTTCATCTAGACTGCAAAAGCACAAAATATAGGGAGAAATTCTAGGATTAATAAAAAAACTTCCCTCAAATTTTCAATTAATTTTGCTATTTAGTAAGAATGTTATTTGTAAAAAGAAACTGTAACAAAACAAGTTGTATACACTACAGAAGAAAAATTAGTAGATCTTCAAATTACTTTCAACGGTATCTTCATGAGCATGTGTTCAGGGAGCAAAGCGGGGCAACTACAAGGCCTGGGCATTTACACAGCTTCCAGCCAGACACAGAAAGGAAACGCTAAAGGGATGGCTCACGTTACCTTACTATTTATGTTAAGATTCAGGGATCTCACTCAGCTTCAATTTCTCTTGCACTAAAAGCAACTTTTGCTCCTTAAAGTAACATCTATCTGGCTAACAATCAAGCTCCCATGCAGAACACCATGCAGTGGCTCTTTGTGTTAAAAGAAACTCACTCAAGACCATCTAAAAAGTAAGGACAACTACTTTCCCTCTTTATTCTCCCTGAAAGAGAAGTCACCTTACACCAGCCTCAATGCATACACAACATTCTTTCCAGAATAGAACCAATGTGACTTATACATAATGCCCTGAAGTTCAGGATTCTTTACATCTTCATTCACCTCCTAAGCATTGGGTACTTGCCTAATGTGAAGGTCCCTTTTAGAGAAAAGAAACTAGATCCAGAAAAGCTACTTGAAATATCCAGGATGACCTAACACATTGCTTGAAGCTACAATCAGATTCCAGGCTCCCAAATTTCCTTTCTTCTTTTTCAAGTTCCACGGCCATGATGGTTCACTAATTATGAGGAAGATTTCTGAACAGGGCTGGACTGGATAAATTAGCATTTCACTGAGGTTTGAGATTTACATAACTATTTAGTCGTATAAAAATGTTCAAAAAGAGCATGAAACCATATAACCTTGAAGTATAAAAAGGTGACTTTAGAAAGCAAAATAAAACAAAGCTTTCATGGTTGGTGCTGATTCTGTGACAGTGTTATTCAATGGCCAAAATATCTCTAAAGCCAGGAAGTACAAGCAAAAGTAAAGACCATTTTACAGGCTCTCTGGGAAAAACAAACAAATGAACATTGATTTGGAATGTTCTGCTTTTTACATTTCGGAGTCTGTGGAACTTAAACTCTAAGTAAGTAGGTGTCCAGCTCTGATACATTCCTCTAGGGAAAGTGAGCACCAAGGTTCTCCTCACCTTAAACAGAAGAGGGTCCAATGAACCGTCCCTCAGCAGAGTCCAGGGAAAAGAACAAGTACAAATGTGAGGTTTGGAGCCACATGATAGAAAGGCTGGTCCTACCAGAAATGTTTATTCAGTATCAACAATACCTCGAGAGAAGGATGTTGCAGTTCTGAGCTCTCCGACCATCAATCACCGAAAGCTCTTTGACCTTTAGTTTGGAACTCAGTGTGTCATCGATGGCATCTGCTTCTTTCTATAAGGAGCATGAAAGAAATCCATCAAAGTCAAACAGGGACATTCCATCTTCAGATACACGCTCCTTTATGTTTTCTGTTTACACACACACATACACACACACACACACAGACAAAGCTGAAATGGTGAGGAGGGGAGTATAGGGAGGTGGTGGAATTGAAACAAAGGCTAAAATCTAGCTGACAAAGCGAAATAATAAGAAAAGCTGACCACCCACATTTAAAAAAGCATTGTTTGGAAGAACAAAGTGCTTCTAAGTGGAAGATCCTAAGCGTGCATATACCCTCCCTTTGTCCCCCAAATCCCTATGGCTAGCAGACAGAAGAACTGTCACTGTGAATCAAGCTCAGCTGAGGCTTGCCACTGCCTGTCCAGCCATTTGCAGGGCCCATTCATCCCAGAACCATTTGCATCCTGAGCACTCAAAAAGCTGAACAATAAAACCTCCCAAACGTCTTCATGTGCAACAAGAAGCTCCCGAGCCCAGATGGTAACTTTCATTACCCTGGAGCCTGATGGACAATGGGGAGGGGGCAGTTCAAGGCATTAGTTCAATTACTTAAATTAACAATAAAACACTACTTGTATACTCTGCTGCTATACAGAAAGCTGTAAGCAATAATGGCCAGTCATAATTTATGGTGGGAGAGGCATAAAACAATTATACATAAAATCAAGGTCAAAGTATAGACTAACTTGATAAATAGCAAGTTTGATTTCATTAGAGGTCAGGATTAATTTAAAAAATAGATCATGGCACTTTAAAAATGTAAGGAAACCAAAGAGCTCTGGAACTGTATAACAGTCTAGGAAACAAAGATGATATGGAGTTTATAATAAGAGGCACCCTGTGATCAAATTTTAACTGTCTCTTGTCGTGCTGAGATTTCAGGCATACCTCTAAATATTGAGTCACGAGTTGAGACCCAACATGGAATTACCCAGACATTGCATGACACTGACTGAAAAAAATGGGCTAACCAGGACATTTTGAGCTTACAGTGAGCCAAGGAGGTGTACTAAGCAGGGTTTAGGCGGTAGCTCACTTACCTGCTTGGAGTTACTGTTCACAAAGAAATCCTACAGCCATGGCAGAGGCATGGAAAAGGCAAATCAGATATATGCTGTTCAGAAATTAGAGCCACCAATGGGGGAAAGTCAAAGCAGGGGAGGAAATCAGTGACACAGGGTAAGAGATGACTTATGCCCCTAGGAGCAGCAATGAGAGTTGATGGAGACCAGAGTGCCTGGCTGAAGACACAATGAAGAGCCCAGTACTGAGCATTCAGGGTAGAGAGAGAAGACAGCATTTGCTGTACACAATTTCCAATGGTGGCAAATCAAATTCAGAAAAGAAAGGACTTAAAATACCCGAGAGACCCAAGTTAGGAAAGGAACAAACCCTCTCCGAAAGGACCATTGGGCTCCATTTACTCAACATGATGATTTTCACTTGAAGCAGGAAAGTCATCAATTCCATCAACTTAAGGAAACTACTCCCATTGTCATGTACTACTAGCAAAATATGCTTTTTTGGGGTGGAAATAATCTGTCTTTTTGTGTCATAAGGAAGGATTAAGAAAAGATAAAAGACAAGTTCAAAAACCTAGGTCAGTAACATTAACCCTCAGTACCACCCAAAGAGTCCAAACAACGCCTGTGGGTGCTACGGACAGGTATGAGGAAGAAGACAAAACATGCAATTAAGAGACAATGAGTGATTCATGTGGTGTCCGCCATTGGTGGCCCTGTCCCAACCGCCTCGGGGCTGTCCAAGCACACAAGGTCAACCGTCTCTTCTGGAAACAGTTCACGGAAAAGAGCTGGAGCAAAGACGGGCAAGAGGAAGAAGTAACTGACGTGTTATAAGAAAGCCAGAGCTTTCTTTGCATACTTGGCCATGCGGGAATGAATAAAGCTTTTGGTGCGCAAAGCAGCCCAGCTTCCAGGCCGACTGCTCGCACAACCAGCATTTGCTCAGCAGATTCCTTAAGGCCTCGTGGGTCCTGGCAGCACTGCCAAGGCCACTTCTACACAGATGAGCTGCTTCACATCATTCTTCTAGAGGGAAACAAAATGTGTCCTTACCTTGCTCCTCCCATACAAGGAGAGATTGCTTTCCCAGAAAGGCATTGAGAAAACAAACTGATAACCACAAGCACCCTTTCTTCTCCTCTGATGTCACAGTTTTCTTTTGTCCCTCTTGTAATTAACAAGTTTTCTACTCTGAAGCTCCTTAGGACTCTTTCTCTGTAAAAGCAGTTTCTCCTTTCAAGGGCAGAAAAAACTATGGTGAAGTGAACTCCATGAGGTTATCTTACCCTACCTTCCTCTCTCAAAGAGACACATTGCTAGTTGAATTTAGATCCTGCTCTCACTATCTGCCCTTCAAAGAAGAAACTTCTATGAAGTTCTCTGGCAACTCATTCTCCATAAGTTCCCACTGTCAGGAAATTAAGACTTCTGACCTCTACTGTAGTGGGGTATGGAACCAGGCAACTATTAGTAACTAGGTGTGTGGCTTGGGGCTCAGTCTCGCTATCTGTAAAATGGGGTTGACAACCGGCTTATGACTGTGAGGACTCAGTGTAATAATGCACATAAAGCATTTTGTATAGTAACTGACACATAGTTACGAGCTCAATACGTGGAAGTATCATACAATTCAATTATCTTTCAAGCTGATGATCAAGCCCATTTTTCCTCCTATTACCCTGCTTTCAGCTGAGCTGAAGAACAGCTGGTCACTTGTAAGCAGTGCCAGCACTCAGTGTAATAATTACTAGCTCAGTAACATATCCTACCTTTCATGAGGGGAGGAGGAGGAATGCCATGGGAGAGTTTGGTTAATTGTTAGCCTAAGATTCCCCTTCTTTAGCAGTCCTTTAACCATCACATTTTAGATAAAATCACAAAACTTATTAGATGGGGTATGTTAAAAATAATGATTCCCCCAGGCCTATTTCAAATAAGTTAACATTCTTTTCGAAACCTTAAATTATTCACTAACTGGCTTGGGCCAAACATGATAGAATCGTCTCTATTTGGCTCCACCTAACAGGATGTCTGAATTTTCCAGGTGATTTTTAGTGTAGGGGTTAGGGCTTGGAATATAAATAGGAAGTTGGGACTTGCATTTTCAGGAACCAGTGCTGATACATTCCTATAGATCGGGTTCCACAATGAAATGATGAATTAACACTTCATTGATAATTATAACCCTTGCATGAATGGTTCTTAATCTTTTTGACGTTGAGATCCCTTTGTAAATCTGTTAAAAGCTGGGGATCCCTCTCCAGAAAAATGCTTACACAAATATCTATATAAAACCTTGCAGTGATTAACTCTACCATGGAGTCCAGCTACCTTATACTTTGGTCCTAAAAAAAAACCATCACTTACAATTTTCTCTTCTGCTTTCATGTGCCATGGCTAAGGACCAAGATTATTGAAATAAATATCCTAAATCATAATAATTTTTCAATGTTAAAACTAGATATAGAGAATAATGAAAAATATAAAAAGAATAAAAAAGGAAAATTGTAAGAAAATACCACTGAATATTCCAAATGGGACCCCAAGAATGACTTGTATATTACATATTAGCAGGAGAGGTCAGACTTTGGAGCCTGGAATAGCAGTGACTGTTTCATAAACCAGAGCAGAGAGGCTTTGAAATGTTAAACTACTGCCCCTAAAGAAGGGTGTCTTCAGGCAAAGAGGAGGGAGGAGGAATGGAGACAGTGAGCTGTTAATTTATTGCTACAAAGATACGACTCCCTTTAGGTAAATATAAAGTTCATTTCCTCTGTCCAACTGCATGGATAGGGAGAATGAATCTATAACATCTCAAGATGAAAATTTCCCACAAAACCAGAATGAATATTGTTTAATTGCATCTGAAATAGTACTACTATGCAATGCGCTACATTATGTATAAAATAAGTCTTTTGTGGCTGGCCTGGAAATCATGTATAATATAGTTTCAATGAGAAAAAGAAGTTCTGAGATTCAAGAAATTGCCTTCCAAATGAAGTTCTGGAATGTGAGCAGGGGAATAACTGCACGCTATTAAATTCCATTCCATGTGGCACATAAGCTTACATAATCAGCTCTGCACACCTTTGATATCCAAAAGGAAAAAAAGAAAAAAACAGAAAGCCCTGAATAGGAATGGTCTTATTCTTAAAACTGGAGTTAAAGAAACTCATTACAAAGCCTGACCTTCACAATGAATAAAACCATGGTGTAAGAACAAAGTGAATCTGACAATTATGCCACTTGTAGACCTGAGTGTGCCACCTGTTCGGACACGGAATACACACTAAGCCATAATTTTATTATCTGTGAAATAGGAATATACCCACCTCACAGAGTTGGTGTGAGGATTAAATAAAAAAATAAGTATACGAGCTCCTTGAGAACTAAATTTTAGGGTTGATGAGATTGGGAACTACGTATACTGTACTCAGCACCAAAAATGTATGAATACTTAATATTGATTAGCATCTTTTAGTCTATCTTATGGCTATTTACAGATTTTCCTCATCTCTGCTTATATACTATAAATTGCATTGTAGGTCTGTGCAACAGTTTAATACATTTGCATCCTGTGAAGGACTTCATATACAAAGCAGACAGTATAAATATCCATTCTGATTTTAATGATATAATAATTCTCAAATCATTGGGGCATATCTTGTGTGTGTGTGTGTGTGTGTGTGTGTGTGTACATATTATATAATTATATAAAATCTTTCCTAAATGTCATTAGTCAGTGTTCATCTAATTATACTAATCTAATACTGGAGATTTTTTCAACATCTTACTCTGTGTAGTGTTCCTGTTGCTTGCATGCAAATAATGGTATTCATGTGTTCCTCTGCGTCTCTGAGAAATTTACTTGGCCAAACAACCGGCTGAAATCCAGAAAGTTGCACCAGGGTTTTATAACTCTGGAGGGAAGAAAGAGGAGACACCACAGAAAAAATAGGCTCCCAGTATTCATTTGGCAGTGGAAAAGAGAGCATTTCAAGTGTGATGATAATTATATAGTGCACTGCCAGGACTAAAATGAAAATGCACAGGCCTTTGACATTGTCATTAGTCGTGAGACAACAAGACATTCAATGACAGGCACCTCATTTCCTTTACTCTGTCCTATATACAGCTGCCAGAATGTACGCATCTTTTCATTTTCTGTCTCTCAACATTCAGTAAATTCAATAAAATGGCTCAAATTACCTTCATTTGGGAAACATATTTATGGTTTAAAAATTCTCTTCTCAAATTCTTGCACCAAGGGGGGAAACATACTTGAATCAAGCTGAGCAGGTGTGTTGAAATTTTTCTCTAGAAAGTGCTACTGAAAATGTCAAATGATTCTACTTACCAGTCAAATGTTCTGGTCTATCCTGACTGGAATGACTACTGATTACTTAAACAGTGATTGGTTGCTAGGAGACAATTACCCAATTGCTAGGCTTCCTGCAACCCTGTCTCCCAGAGCCCTTGAGAACCGTCCACATATTTGTCCCAGAGCATTTTGGCAGCATCCTTCTGCACCTTCTGCTGAAAGCCAGTTAATTATGAATCTTGTAAACTTGGGTCTTTCAACCACCTGCCTTCGTAATAAATGCAACCCACATGCTCAGACTCGAACAGCATCATTTGGAATAACTGCTGTTTCCCTTCCTTTAATTTACTTCTTTAAGTTCCCAACCATTCATCTTAGGCAACCAGAATGGACCAGTATTAGTGACTGAAACTGAGGTGGGAAATCAATGAGATGTGTATCGATGTCAGATTATTTGAATCTGCCAGAAAATGTGCTACAATGTACTAAGACTTCATGTCAAGGCCCAGAGGACACGTTCCTGGGATAGAAGAGTGAAAGAGAGGGGGAGAGGGGGAGAGGGAGGGGGAGGGGGGAGAGAGGAGGCGGCCTGTTGTAGCCAATCATGAATGAGTCTGGTCCAAGCACCTGCCAAATAAGGGCTCTAAACACCTCTTTTGTTTGTCCTTTGAAAGATAAAGTGTCTTGCTTTCTACTGGACAGTGTCTTATCACCTTTTTTCTTCATTTTCCTTCACTTGGTGTGTTCAATGTTGCACAAGTTTGCCTTCACACTTACAGTGGGCTCCAGGTGAGGGCTCCTATTTTAGGGTCATGCTGCTATGGTAGGCAATCCCCTGCCTTTTTGTACTTTACTAAAATAGCATAAAATACACTGCAGAGAAGATTTCCTCTAAGCGAAAATAGTGTGGTTAAAGACATATTACTTTTTCTTTTCAGTTTCAGATGCATGAAATGCCATTTTGAAAATAAAACCCTCAGCTTTTGTTTTCCCCCAGCCTCAGTTCATCTTCTCCCTCAGTGCTTGGCAGTTCTTTCCGAGACACTCTTTCTTGGGAACCAGGCCAAGCCTAAGCAGACTACAAAGTCTGCTGCTTCTCTGAGGACGCTCCACCCTGGGCATGATTCACTCGGGAGTTAAGGGCCTCCCAGAAAAGCCGACGGAAAGCCCCTGTGCAGATGACCGGCATTCATGTGTCCCTATGAAGATGCACTCTGCTCTCTTCACCACTTCTCTTTCTCAGTCTTCCTTAAGAATCTTTCTGCTCATACTCCGGGACTCAATGATTCCATTCCCAGGTCTCTAACTGACTGTTTGGGATCTCACTTCACCTTTTCCTTATTCTTCTGAAACTCTCTGTACTGAGCCACCTTGCTGTGACTTCTTCTGTTCTACCCTTAAGAAGCTCTACTAAGATGCCCTCTACTAAGATGAGGAGTGAGAGGAACCACACAGATATGACCAGGGCTCATGACGTGACTCTGTCTACTTGGCCACATCAGCAAGCACCAAATCACATATTCTCACTACTATCACAAAAGCTTTGCTCACTTTTCAGAAGATTCTCTGGTCCTATTTGATTCATTGCCATCCCCACATTTGCTCAGATTTTGAAGCCCCACTTCTGAGTCAAATCATGTTCGTGACATACAGTAAAAAATTCTCTCTAGGTTCTATCCAGCTGCCAAATTATAGTCCTTTACCAACCCCTATACTTCTAAAGGTTCCATCTATTTCAAAAATCAGTCTACTTCTGATAATACCATTTGATATATATATTTATAAGTCAGATAAAATAAAATGGCTTCAGAAACACTATGAGGTGACAATACAAGTTAGGTAACTCACCTACTAGTATTTTCTCCTGGTGACCCATTTTGACTAAGCGCAAGTGATAATAAGAAACAGAACTCCTTCCACCAACAGAGACGAGGTCTTGGACACTAACTAGGGTATGAAGCTCCCTCATGAGGACCTTATTTACCTTCAGGGTGTTCACACACACACACTGATGGGCACCTAGACACATGTGCGTGCACACACACACCATGCTGCTTTGCAGGAACACACCAGAGTAGAACACACAGCCTAGAACTAAGAAGCCTATCGTATCATGGTTATGGCAGATGGCTCAGGGAAAATGCATGAGGACATGATTTTTCACTTTTTTAGCATCTGGAGGGCACATGCTGTTACCTGCTGTCTTTGATACGCTGAGAACGTTCTTTCCAGGTCTTCAAGATCTAGAATTTTGAAGACTTTTGTATCATCAATTTCAGTCCATACTGTTCCTTCCAGTTTGTTCTGCAAACATCAAGTTAATAAGTGCTAGGATTTATAATTAAACACGAAAAGAATGGATGTGGTTCTTTTTTACTTAAAGGGCTGCTGTCCCCAATTTTTCATTCTACCCGATGCTCAAAGTGAGCTGGCTTCAAACAATATGTCATTTATTTCAGAGGGCTTATCACTTAAATATCTGAGCTAGTGAGAATCCCAAGTCCATTCTAGAAAATGAGATCATTTAACAGATAGGGCTGTTTCCCTTTCGGGGACAACACTGTGAGCTGCTAAAGCTGTCCATTAGAGGGAATTGGAACAATGGCTTACCTCAGGCAGCTTAGACCAGTTGAAGGATTTCAGGGCATTTGTGGGCTGAGGAATGTTTTTCTTCTTAAGTGTGAGACCCAGTGGAGCGCCAGGAGGTGGCATGATTCCCCCTAAGGGAGGAGGCCCTGGGGGAGGAGGCGGGCCACCAGGAGGGAGGGGAGGGGGTGGAGGAGGAAGCAGTCCACCTGGTAGTGCTGGGGGCGGTGGGGGAAGAGGGAGAGACCCCGGCACAGAGGAAGGAAAGGGACCCCCTGGGGCTCCAGGCGAGGGTCCACCTGGGATGGAAGCACAGACAGCCCTCTGAAAAGACAAAAATAGGAAAAGAGAAGATCAACGGAAGAAGTAAATTCATTGGATGATTTTTGAGAGTCTGAAACTTTGCCTACAGTTCTGATAATGTGGGTTTAAGGGGGCACCAAGTCAAAGGGACTTTTCAGGGCCTTTGTGGGCTCTGTTGGGTCAGCCCTTTGTATTTGGTGCCCCAGTGCTTGTCTGCAAAGCATTCACGTCTCTCACTTCTTGCACCATCATACGGTGTGGTTTTCCTGAAATTCGTTTTCATTTTAAGAAGCTAATATGATTTCCCTTGCTCTTATTAGAGGATCTGTACTGAAAAATGCACACTCTAAACCCCTCTACTGCCTAATGCACACGCGAAGCACAGGGAGCAAGTCTCACAACCACTGTGATAAATCACCAGACGGTTCAGGTTTTATTCCCCCATCAGAAGCTGTCTACTTAAGGATGAGGGCTCCAGGATAAGTGAGGCCTCGGCAGCTGCCCAGAAACGGAAGAGCGGCCCGCGGCCCTCAGGCCTCACCCTGCTGAGTTCGTGGAGCTGCGCTGTGAGATCCGCCACCTGCTGCTTGACTTGCTTGTGCTCAGTAGTCTCTTTTTCAAGTTTCTCTTTCATTTTATTTAAGGTCTGCATCATCTCTTCCTTCTCTTGGGTCTTGGCATCACATTCTCGCTCTTTCTTTTCCAATTTCTGCTGTAACTCATTGTGCTCTACGCAGGAAAACAATTGGTCATGAAAACAAGGGACTCTTCAAAGCTGAAGCATTTTCTCTAAACAGAAAACTGACTAAGGATGATTGCGAAGCTCTTTATTAGGTAAATATTATTTCTCTTCTCCATCAAAGGGAGTGACCCTAGGGCTCAACGGTGTTCACGTATGGAGGGGCCTTCGATGAACAACCTTATAAACTACGTTTTGTAAAAGATGGAAGAAGAGACCCTAAAGTCCCAGTTCTAAAGATGTGAGAAACTATTTGTGGAGGAGAATGCTGCCTGTTTGGTATTTAATTCAGAATCCTGTCATATATAAGAGCCCTTTAGCCACACTTGAGAAAATGAATATTAAAAAGGCCTCTTGTCACAAATTAGAAATGAGAACGAGAGAAGTCCAGTGTTTATTAGCTAAGGTTGCTGCCTCATGTCCAACTAGCAGATGGGCTGAAAGGGAGGATCTTGCACCCTGAGGAAATGCTGCTGCCAGACCCAGCGTTGTCCCAATGCAGAATCATTTCTCCCATTCCCCCTCAGAAGGCTACTTGGACTGGAAGTATTTTATGCTTTCAGCAAACAATTCCTAAAACTTGTGAAAGCAGATGTTATCATCTCAGAATTAAATACTTAAGGGCAGTAGTACTAGCTGAGCATGAGGATCACCCTAATATGGGAAGAAAAATACTCTCTCTCAGCTGTAGTGTCCCTGACTTCCCCAATCCTGCCATAATGGAACAAGGCATCCACTTGAGTGTAATGCTTGTCTACATTGCCAACATGCTTGCTGACTCGAGCACCGATGGAGTGATGATCCTTGGAAAAGAGGTCTAATTAAGTCTAGGCTGCAGATTTTTATTTCAAATACTTGGCCCCAATTCCTATTCTTTTTATATCAATAAACCCACTAGAGATATAACCCACGGGGGCAGACCTATACAGAGTTGGTCTCTATTTCTGAATTTGATAACACATTTAAATCCTTGCTTTCTCTGTCTCTTATTTTCTCTCTTCTGAGTCCTCCAAAATCAGAGTTTGCAGAACAGGGTTCAAGCCACTAAAATCCTTGGATTTCCCCAGCCTTGGAGTTAAGATAACCATCAATGCACTTCCACCACTCCATGAGTGCTTTCCTGACTGCTTTAGATGTGAAAGACTACCTCATGGGAAACTACTGTAGCCCATTTTCCTTCTCTTCTCCATTTCATTCCTCTTCGACAACTCTAAGACTTAACTTCCTATCACCAGTCATAAGCCTTTGACAAATCTGGCCAAGCCTTGGAACCACCTGAGGGATTTTAACATTTCAGGACCCCAGAGCCCATTCCAGGGAGTCTAGTCTGTAGTCCAGGGGCAGGGTGGTTTTCAAATGCTCCTGAGATGATTCTGATGTAATGCCAGGTTCGGGAAGCTCCAGCCTAAGGGATTCTCTCCACAATGACATCCATTTTATAATGCACTTGCTAAGCTTTTATTCAGCACTGACTGGGTGTGCTGCACTAAAGAGAATTCTCCATCTTTCAGGTCCATAGAACTTCCCGTCTCCTCGCAGCCTCCACTCTCTAATTCATCAACATGCACCCTCTTTAATACAACGTTGCTACTTGAAGCTTCCAGAAAAGAACTGATTTTATCTACAATATTTCCTTTTTTGGACTCTCCCCATGACCTCACTTTAAACCATCCTGTTCCTCCTGCTGACCTTTGCCACTTTCTCTTATACCACTTGAGCCGCCTAAATCCTACAAAAGTCCGCATCATTGATTGTGCAACTAGTATGTGCCAGGCATGATGCTCAAGTCCTTATATATGTTTTCTCATTTAATCTCCACAACAATCCTGTGAGTTAGGTTTAATCTTCATTTTACAGAGGAGGAGACTAGAGGAGAAGAGGACATGACTTAGCCTACCTACACAGTCAGTCAGGGACAGAGGTGCGACTCAGACCAGAGCCCAGCACAGAGCCTGACACACACAAGCCTTCAATAAGCATCCACTGAAGGAATGACTGAATGGCTCCAAAGCTTATATCCTCAGTACTCTCATCAACTTGCACACCTCAGTCTCCATGCTCCAGGGGGTACCCCTAAAATACCACTCATTGACCATTTTCTCTTTGGTATAATCTCTCCTTACTCTAACTTTTAGTCAGTGTTTCTGTTCTTTCTATAGTAGTTTCTGGAATTTATTTATAAAAACATATGTGCAACCTCACTTATTTGAAAGCAATCTGAATTTATATGATGAACCCACAATATAACAGTCCTCCACATTTGGTATTTTGCAGTATCAGTGGTGGCTCGGCTTTTCTGCTCAATGGAAAAGGACAAGTGTGAGGAGAGGAAAGGAAATGCTTGAGCATTGCTTGGACCTTCTTTTCAACACACTAAATATCGGGGTGAGTGCTATTATATTTCACTGGCTCTGACTGAGTAACTTGGACAAGGAAACGGAAGTCAACTAACCAGCACACTGAAAGAGTAGTGGCTGGGGGTATGACTGTTTTCTCAAAGAGGCCAACTTTAATTTGCTAATATTTTGAAGGAAGGGGGGAAAGTTACATCCATTTGGTGAGTGGTTCGCACAGTGATGGGCATAAATGACCCTCCTGTCACTCAACGCTAAGTGTTAATATCAAAGACATATTCAAATACCAATAGCTGGTCTGTTAATGTTTCACAATACACATATATCTACAGTGGTCAGTAATTTTCTGCATGATTTCTCTCTTTATAACTGGTGCCAAATTAAGGTCACGTGGGGGATTGGGCTGCTGAAACCAAGTGGCCGTGGTGTCCCTTATATTTCTTAAAATCCAGTGTGCTTTAAAGAGGAGTTATGGGATGGGGGGAGGGTTAGTTAAGAAAATTTGAATTAATGAATACTGAACAGCAAATGCTACAAGCTTTTCAAAAAAGTTTACACAATTATAAGAAAAGGCTAAAATATTTGGGGTTAGCATAATAACTAAAATAGCTCAATTAAAGAAAAAAAGTGCAAAATGCCCTTAAGACATGGAAAAAGAAAGGCTATTGATACACCAAAGTTGATAAGAAGCATCAATGCAAATTTCTAAAATAAACAGAAAACAGAGTTGCTCAATAACCAATAACATAGTCTGTTCTCTTGTCAGAGCCTCAATCATTTACCTTTCCTCATTTTTTCTGCTTGTTCTTTCCACTGCTTAACTTCATTTTCATTAACCAACCTGTATAGTAAAGAAGCATTCATTACAAAAAACATAAAAGACCCACTGCTAAATGTATGCTCTCTAGGTACAAAAATAGTCTACTGCAGAGAAGATCCTCAGCATACCAAAACCCACTTATACTCAGGTGTCACTTAGAAATATTACATGTGTTTACAGTACGGAACTCATATTTACTTCTAGAACATTTCAGTTCTCCCAGTTGCTATTTTGAAGTAGGAGAAAATGTCTTACATTGTCACTATTATCTCACGGGCAACAAAATAAGAAGAAACTCACATTCGTACGACATTCTTAATATTAAAGTTTTCCAAAGGTGTGGAGTCAGGGTCCTGTCCTTTGTCATTCTGGATAACTATTTGCTGTATAATTCTATCCAGGAGTAGCCAGTACTGAACACTGTTGCCATTTCTCTTGTCTAGAAAAGAAAAGAAGGGTGGAAAAATTCTTCAAGTTGTTTCTAAACTAGGACAAATATTTTTCAACAGTGGTCACCCACCAGAGCCATAGAACCAGAGAGATGTTTACAACATCTGCACCAACGCTTCCCAAATTCTCTGGAATTCTGACATGCAATGATCATTTACTTGATTGAGAGGCACTTTCTATTCCTTTCTAAATGTGTTGTAAGGCGTATATTTATTTTAAAATCACAGTAAGTTATAATTCATTTCATTTTGAGAACTTCACAATATCCCTTAAGCTGTGTAGAGACACATCGGGCTGTCACAAAACCAAGGTTTCGAATCCCTGGTGTACAGCCAACCTAATCAGCACTGTTCAGAAGACACAGCCCTGTCAATGACGTCTGAACATTAAGAAACACATGCGTAAGTCACAAACACACTCACAAGGCATTTGGAGGCAGTGGTGCAGGATGGACATGAAGTGAGGGTAAGCTTCACTATGGGTCAGCCTCTTCCTGGTCAGCTCAAACATCTGCGTTGCACTTTTTGTGTCTATATGAACCTATTTCACATGGAAAAGAAATCTAAGTCCAACATCCAAGTTCCTCAATTCCTGCAACGCAAGGTAAGCAAATCGAAGGCAAAGAGAAGCTAATCTTGCCATTTAGGTAGCAAAACAGCACTTCAATTTAGCTCCTAGGTTACACTGGTCTACGTCATCTCTACAACACACACTACACAAGGAAATGAGCTGATGAGTCAAATCAGAGTAATTGTAAGCATACATACCAGTTCAAATCTTTTGGCAAATTCTAATTCATCTTCATTTCGGAGCATTTCAAAAAAATCTAAGTGCCTGAAAGACAATTAAGGAAAAGCTATTAAAAGTAGAACATTCTATAAACAGAGGCATACAGGAATCAGGACATTAATACTAAGGCCTATTCCTAAACTTTCAGAGAAATCTTTAAAAGAAGTAAGACAAGAAAATTTGAATGCCTTTGCTTAACTATGCTCTTTCTAAGAAAAAAGACATCATCTGACTGAAATGAGATTACAGTAAGAGACAAATTTAAAGGCCTAAGATGCCTAGTATATAGTAGATAATTAATAAATGTTTACCAAATGCAAAGTCAATCAAGTCCAGATCCTGCTCTCAGACTCCCTTTACTTTTCGGAAAAACAAGCCCACATACCTACACTTGACTGGTCGCTGAATTCAAGATCACAAAAGAAATGTCCATGCTGTTCACTTTCTCATTCAAACATTTGAGCCCCTACTATGTATTTCAGACACTGGGGATGATAAGTTCTATAAAGACAAATACACGAGGGTAAAGGGTATACAGAATGATGGGAGGTGAGGTGAGTAATATGCACACAGTGGTTGGAAAAGATCTCTCTGCAGGGAACAAGAAAACAAGCAATTTGGACATCTGTGGGAAGATCTGCGAATGCTGAGGAAATAGCAAGTGCAAAGGCCCTGAGGCAAGAGTACTTAGACATAGTCACAGAATATCAAGGAGAAGAGCATCCTGGAGTGCATGAATGAGGGAGAAGAGTAGTAGAAGGAAAGATCTGAGAGCTAGGGAATATGTTAGAAGTAGTAAAATGATTGCAAACAAGAGCAAATGAACAGGAAGGTGGAAATTAACAATCACAGAATGGCTATCAAAGGTGCCAAGGGATTCCACATGTTTTATAGTCAATTTTCATAACAGACCTGAAGATAGCTGTCGTTATCATCATCACTATTTCTTGCAGGTACAAAAACAGTAAGGTTCAGAAAAACTGTGTAACTTGACCAGAATACATAGCAAGTAAGAGTCAGGACTCGGATATGGATTCAGATCTAATGCCAAAACACACACTAAGTTCTCTTGGCACGGTGCCGCTTCTTTCCTTTACAAAGTCTGACCACAGAAACATCGTTAGCTGGAGTACGTTCTGGGGCAGGCTGCTGATGTTACAGACAGTCACAAGGCGTTCACAGGCTGGCACTACACACATGGAAAAGGCATGATCCATCTCAGATCAGAACAGTCTGACTTACCTATCTAGGGTTGAATTTTCATGTTCCCTTAATTTATCTATTACAGGTTGAATTCCTAACATCAGAAATTCATAGCGAAGATGAAGTCTAAAGTCCAAACTTTCCTGAAAGTACAAGGGTGATAAAATACATATTTATGCTTTTTAGACTCCACAGTCAGTAATCTTTTCTTCTTATTATTATTATTTAATAATATGATTTAAATTGTGGTCCAGAAGATTCTTACCTCTCCCGCGCCTTGGCTGAGCACTGCGTTAATGAAGGACATGATGGCTGTCTTGAGACTCACTTCATCTCGATACCGCCCTGTGCTTCTATCCAAGTCATTGATTAGTGTCTACCAAGGATACAGATATAAGAACAAAGGGCTGAGTCATTATTAACCATACACTCATTTTATTAGTTTTCTTATACTGAGAAGTTAATTTTTTAAATCTTATATGTAGTCAGAATTATATGGGTCTATAGAAAGCCACCATGTTTTCTTAAGATTAGTTCTAAAAACTCTACTTTCAAAATTCTTATCTCATATATGTTCATATATAAATGTATACAAAGTACAAAAGATTGTGCTTCATTAACTTGGCTTGCTTTTTTATCTTTGAGTATAAATACGGTGACATAATCTCACTGTTCATATAATCCTAAATCACGAATGGCAACCTGTAAAATTTTCAGAGACGCTCCATTTAGTATTTAGTGGATTCAAAAGACGTGTGCTCTATAACGTGTAGCAAGCAGGGCCACATTTTTAAGTTCGTTAAGTCCTAAACCCCAGATTGATGAGGTATGGAAAGTACATTCTACTCTCTGGTACTAGAACCTAAGAGGAAGGCAATGTTGAAGTCACAGTGTGAGCCATCACCGGGGGAGCTCAGGCTGGGCTCTCCCTCCGGTAGGAAGGGCCCTGTGAGGAGGGTGGATGGAGAGCAGGGGGGGAGGGTGGATGGAGAGCAGGGGGGGAGGGTGGATGGAGAGCAGGGGGGGAGGGTGAATGGAGAGCAGGGGGGGAGGGCCCACCTGAAAGCGAGTTCTTTCGCTGGCATACTTCTGGTAGTGCAGCATGGCCTGCAGACCCTTCCTGTGGCCCCCAGGAACCAGGCACACGGCGCCCAAGATTTCCAGCACGGCCACCTTTGTTTTAACGTTCTCTGTGCTCAGACTCTGAGCAATTACATTAATGCTCTCAGAATGAGCCAGGACGTGAGCCCGACCTTGAGAGTTGTTCATTAGCGCCTTTATACATCCAATGAGAGAGGTATGTATTCGAGACTCTGCGGTCTCGTAGTCCATGGTCTTTAGAAAGTTGAGAATACATGACAGGCCATCCAACTCGATGAATCTGTTTACAAACCTGTCACGAGGAGAAGGTTAAAAAGTATCAGACTTAAGTCTCATTGGAATTTTGTAATAGCCCTTAATGCAAGAGTTTGAGGGGGCTGGAGAAAGAAAGATATAGTTCCTAAAATACTAAAAGGCTTACATGGATGAAGCCTCCTTAATTCCTGGCCTCTTCCTTGGCACAGACCCAATGGTCAGCCACAAGCATGAAAAAAATCTCCATTTGAGGTAAACAGATCTCAACTGATACAACCAACCAATTAATAGGCCATATGACCACAGAAAATCAGGAACAAGAAGACACTCAGAATATGTCTTAGGTTCAAGTCATCTGCTGATCCTGTGTTACGGTAACATCCAGCCCCCGTGCACTTTTGTGTACTGACCACCCACCCAGGTAGGCCCCGTATCAATGAAAGTCAAAGAGCATGCTCATCAAACAAATGATCGTCTATATCCCTAAGGTGGTGTAGAAATCCCTTCTTTTGTATGACATACTACATGGAATCTCAATATATAAAATAAATAAAAGCAATACTTTATTACTGTACATTAGTTTTATTGATATTTATAGCACTTATTTACCATAAAGTCAATCAATGAGAATAATTCACAATGCACATCTGCATGTTAAGCCTCTGAAAAGTTCAGAAGTAATACAACCTGTTTATCTGACTACTCCAGAAATTTCCAAACTTATTTAGCCTTGAATACCCATTAACATCTGAGAATGCAGAACACATACAGAGGGAACACACACACACAGAGGGAAACATTGATCTATTAGGATAGGCTAGAAAACCTCTGTCACACAACTGCATAGGATTTTTTTTTACATCAGTAGATTTTTCTCAGTTAGCATTTTATAGTCAAATAAAGCAGGGACCAACCATTTCACCCAACCCCATGACCCAGATATAGCCAAGCTGGTTAAACCGGTTGGCTTCATTCATAGCACCTGTCCTAATGAACTATACCTGTAAGTACCCCAACATCCTACCAAACCTCAGAGGCATTAATGGGAAATGAAGGTGTGGGAGGCACACCGTGGAAGCTGACTGCCATCTTTTCCTTTATAACAGTTTTATTAAGACATAACTCACATGCCAAAAAGTCCACACTTTCAAATGTATAATTCAGTGATTTTTAACATATTCACAGACTTGTGTAGCCACTGCCACTATGTGATTTTTAGAACACTTTAATCACCCCCAAAAGACCATTTCTTCCTCTCTCTAACCCCAGGCAACCACTGTTCTTCCTGTCTCTGTGGAATGGCCTTTTCTGGATATTTCATATAAATGGAATCATACAATATGTGCTCCTTTGTATCTGGCTTCTTTCACTTTGCATAAATATTTTCAAGGCTCATCAATGTTATAGCATGTATCAGTACTCTATTCTTTTTCATGGCTGAATAATATTCCATTTGATATATCACATTTTATTTATCCATTCATCAGTTGATAGAACTTGGGCTGATAACACTTTTTGGTTATTATGAATAATGTTGATATGAACATTCACGCACAAGTTTTTCAGGAGACATGTTTTCATTTCCCTTGGCTGTATATCAAGCAATAGAGTTGTTAGGTCATTTGGCAACACTATGTTTAACATTCTGAGGAACTGCTCAACTGTTTTCCAAAGTGGCTGCACCATTTTACATTCCCACCAACAACGAATGAGGGCTGCAATTTCTCCACATCCTCACCAATACTTGTTAGTCTCTGTCTTTTTTATTTTAGCCACCTTAATGGCCGCCTGCATATCTTTTAATTGAAGACAATCAATTTAACGAATGTTCAGTGATTAAAGTATTTCATCCATGGCTCAATTGCATGCTTTTAATTTAAGACTTCCTCGAAAATTTGGCTACTTTTTTGGCAGAAAAAAGAAGAAAGGAAGAAAGAAAAGAAGGGGGGAAGAAAGGACAGAAGAGAAGAGAAGAAGAAAAAGAAGACAAGTAGCATACGCTAACAGTGGAAAAATTACCTCATCGGTTTTGTCCTCAGTGCCGTCTTCAAACTCTCTATAGTTTTACTTCTCTCTTCTTCCTCTTCTTTCTCTAAAGCCAGCAGAGATTTTCTCTATGCAAAGAAAACTGAAGTTACTTCTTCAAACTCTATGTTTTAATTATGGCACAAGCAAGACAAGCCCACAGATTACATGCTACTGTCACTTTTAATACAAATAATCAATCAACAAATCTATGACTAATATTTACAAGCCAAAATATAGAGCAGAAGCACCAAGAATTCCACAGATTTGTTTTCTCTACTATAAGCTAGTTCTTTCAAATTTTAAATAAAGCTTTAAGGAAATGTTTAGAAAACTTACTAGAGATTAAGTTGTCCAAATGTTTGTGTAACTATTCTTCAACTACACTTTGATGAAGATATTACTATTTATACTTGATAGAAAGAAGACTGGATCTGTAGTTAAATACAACATTCTAGCAATTCAAGTTAATAACATTACCACACTATCAAACAGAGGTGGGCAGCTCTCTCTCCCATTCCTCACGCTGAAACGTGTAACTTTAACACTTTTTGTTACATCAGATTTTTTTTAAAGAGAAAAAATTAAGTTGGACCTGATACTAAGATGGACAACTCCTTTAGAGTAAATGCCTAAGTTTTAGAAATGATTCGACATCATTTGAAAACCAGGATACGGAATACATGCACTTGTGTGTACACTCTCCCTACTCAGGGATCTGCTACAGCAGTGCTTCTCAAACTTTCAAGTGGACATGAATCACCTGGGGGTCTGGTGAAAATGCGGGTTCTGATGAGGGATGTCTGGGGCGAAGCCTAAGATGCTGCATTTCTTACTAGTTTCTGTGCGATGCTGATGCTGCAGGTCTGTGGACTTCACTGTGAAGAACAAGGCTCTGAGGAAGCAGCTCTCAGTTGATGTTACAAAGTCATGAATGCTAGTAATCTTTACAGATGTGTTAAAAAGTCTTTTCCATTCCTTTCACCCCCTGATCATCTAGTTGTACTAAAAGTATCCCCAAGTCATATGGCCCTAGGTGCTCCACTCACCCATGGAACCGCTGGTCCCTTGCCTTCCTCCTACTCTGAACACATGCTTATCTAGCCTCAGCCTGCTTACCCATTACCAATTCTGATAAAAATGCATGGTTGGCAAACAGGCTAGGGTATTGGGAAAAAAAAAGTCTTATCCATGTGTCTCAATGATCCAGTCTCTCCCATTCTTTCAGGACCACAAATCATCCAGGGGTAACTTTACTTAATTTTTTCAAGTCAATAGTATCAGCATTAAGTAACCAAATGTTAACTAAAGCCTAAATTTGACTTCACAATTAGGAGGGTAAAGCCCAAAGCAAACAAATACATCAGTATCACTTAATGGCAACTAAAATAAAAATCAGTAAAGTCTTGTTCTTTAAACTTGTTATTATTTCTGCTAAAGCTGTTGTCTTGCTGGTGATGTGCCTGGACAGCTGTCACCAGAGGATGGTAGGGGAAGAAGCTGTGTGCAGAAATAGCCAACGAATTTCTTCACGGCTCCGTGAAACCCATCCCCTGGGAAATTCAGCACAAACCCAGCCAAGTACGTTTAATCTCCTCTGGCACAGCTGAACTCATTTAGACTCTTAAGCAATCGGTTTGAATCTGTAGCTCAGAATCAAGCCTTTTATGAATATCACTTATTGTTTCTAAGTTTTACTACACAAAACTATCCCCAAATTAGATGACACACATTTCTTATTGTGGTTCACTAATACTAAATAAAGATGCATAGATTTACCCTTTTAATAATCCTAGAGAGGAGTGAATTAGGGCAGACTATACTACATCTCTCCCTAGTAGAGCTGGGAGATTTATGAAATGTCAAGAAAACCAAATTGTAATTTCCTTTCCCAATATAAGGAGCATTTTCTTCCTCTCAAAACAGAAGACAATATGCTCCTTTCTGTATGTGATACAATTAGGTTTGAATCTCAGATCGCATTTATTGTATTGAGAAAACTGAGGACATGTGAATGAACCTGATATTCTACTGTGACTTTTCAAAATAAAATAATTTATATAAAGTCTCAAGTTTTCCAGCTTCCCATTTAGGAAGCAGGCTTAATTTGCAACTTTTGGTAGAAAAAGGGGCTAAACCTACACTTCTGAAGAGGGCTGCTATGCCAACCATGGCATATACGGGATGGGCCTGTGGCAGCCTCTGTGGGTGCTTTACACACTTAGTAAAGCCCTGCTCACATGAGAAGTGGGGAAAGGAAAAAGCGCGTCCCAGCAGAGGGTCTTCCAGTCAAGCGGCTAAGGTATACATTGGAACACACAGGTCCAAGAGAGCTGCACAAACGAGGCACAGAGATCATTCCTGGCTGGGAGTCTGGAACTAAGCTCCTGCTTGAAACATTTCCTTGGGTGACCTTAATAAGACAGGCCACTGAGCACACTGAACTTCACCTTACATCCTTCCTCCTTGAGAGTGCACAGAGAAGCCACATAGAAAGCAAGCCCAGGTCCTTCTCGAATCTGCTGGGCTGCACTCTTTTTATTATACTGTTTTTCACTCCTTAAAAGCCAACAGATCACTCAGGGGTCCTTTAAAGAACAAAGCACTCTTGTTATGAAGCTTACATAAAGTAACTGAACTTGTTCCACAAAAGGCTTCAGGGCCAGTAAGCGCTGCAGTTCTCAACCTGGGCTGTTTATTAGACTCTCGAGGCATTAAAGAAAACAGATGCCTTGTTGGCAGCTGGGGGTGGGGTGGGATTATCCTTTTACATGCCAAAGGGTTTTAAAAACCGAGTTAATCAGAGGCAAATTGGAAAGGCTTCTTTGAGCTCAGACTGATGGGTTTAAATTCAGCACTACTCCTTCCTAATTAGATGACTTTGGGCAAGGTAACCTTTCTCTGTCTCAGACTCCTTATCTGTAAATAGCACTTATAGCATAGGGTGCTTGTAAGGATTTAAACCAACACAGAAAGTGCCTGTTCTACTGCCCGTCACATGATGCCCATTCAATAGCAGTAGTCGCTACTGATGCTGAAGATAGTGGCTGATGACAATGTGAATAAATGCCCCTTCAACAATTCCCCTAAGTGGAGAGCCAAAGAGTCTAGCTGCCAGGCCATGAAAGGATTTGGAGGAATTGTGTGCCTTTCCAGTGCCCAGGGACAACGTCTCGGGATTTCTGCTGTGCGTTGTTGAGAATTCTCCAACGCAGTTCTCAGAGATGAACCAGAACTGTGGGAGGAGGTAGAGGTAACAAACAGGGTGAAAAAACAGAAAACTTAGCATAGGGTCTCTGGTCTCATCAGGCCTCCTCGTTCCTTCCCTTTTGCAGGAGTTCTGAGGCCTCCTTAATTGATGAACTGTTAATGCCTTTTACCTTCAACCCTGGAAATTGCTAGCTCCGTCCTTAAAGGAGCATTAGAAAGCTTTGTTAGGTGTTTAACACACAAAGAATAGCAAAGTGACTGACAACTTAATAGCCTTGAGATACTCTTGGAAAGGACTTTGGATTAGGAAGCAAATATAATTAAAATATAGACATCTCATGAAAGCAGCAAAGGGTTGTCCAAGGAGCTGGACGAAGGAGAAAGGAGGCTCTTGAAGAAGGGCCACATACTGGCACATCATGGACTCTCCAGTGCAGGAAATGTGCCAGGTCGACTCCAGACAAGGCCTGGATTAAGTCACTAAAGGACAAAATAACCTAACTGCCCCAAAATTTGAAGAAAGAAAAAATCCATAGGGTTTAGTAGTCCTCCATTTATAGACATGAATTCATTAACAAAGAAGCAACTTCCCTTGTTAGACATCAAACAATGCTGACTTAATCAGAACAAGAGACAGCCTGCCCAACAGCTTTTTTCCCCTAACAGCCAGGACCAAGAATTCAGAAAATAACCTTCACATGCAGGAAATGTAAATGGCTCTAAATTATTATTGCTTAGGCGGATGCAGAGAAAATCCCTGATGGTCATCACTAGCCTCCCCATCTGCTAACATATTCATACAAATGCTGAGATCACCTTTTTCTCATCTCTGTCGTTGTGTAGCATGCCTTGTTAAAGGAGGATTTGGTGGTTATTTTCTGTTCCTTTCTGCTGTGCTTTTAGACTAGAAACCCTTGGGGCAAAAGCTTATGCAATTTCTTCTATAATTTATACAGCCCTGTTCACATTTACCAGGCTGTTTATTATTCATTGTGTGACAGCAGAAGAAGCATCTTCAAAGAAAAAGCTAGAAAAGAGGAAGTTACTAAAAGTGAAGGTCCCTGAAAGTTTAGCAAAAGTGTGAATGACTCACATATTCTAGCCAGTTTTCAACTTGTGCAGCAGCAGCAGCAAAATATTAGACAATCTAAAATGTTTGCTTTAAGTGATAAGAAGAAAGTAATTCTCCATAAGGACTCTGGGAAAGTCAGGAAAGAAAGAGGTAGAGAAAAGTATTATGGAAGCTATCATATCACAATATGCTTGGATATTATAAACTCAGAATTGAACGTAACAGACTGACTTTTAAAATCGTGAGTGTGCCCACTGAGGCCAAGACTGTGTTCTCGGTGGGCAACCTCCAAGATTTATCAACACACAGGATTTAAGCTACTAAGGCTCAAAGGTTGATGACGTGTTTTCTGCTGCGTGTTTTAGCTGGGATCAACAGGGGCTCCTCCAGCTGCTCGGAACGCTGACATCACAGACACATCCGTGTTATCAGAATACTATTTAGACATTGAGAATGCATTTTAAGCAATTACTGAACCAAAAATCCATGTGCCACAGATTTCCCAAGGACATCTCAGCATAATCATTATTATACCTTTTCATTAAACCACTTATCCCATGAACTCCTTTTTCTTATTTATATGAGTAAAAGAGTACCTTGGTGCCCTGTGAAATCAAGAACCCAGGAACTAAGCAAGTCCCCAGTAAAAAAGAGAAAAGAGTGTAGCCATAGTTTCATTGTACTGTTTTTAAATGGTATTAACTTTTAGAATAGTGCTGCCATAATAAAGCTCAAATGACTGGTAAGAGCAATTGCAAATTAAAGTTGAACATAAGCCAGATTTAAGATTACATTTCCTCTTATAACATTAAAGTCACTTATATTTTAGTGTGTGCTCACTTTATTTAAAACACTAGAAAAAAATCACTTTGCCAAGTACCACTACCCCCTTTATCCCCCTAATATTGAGCATGTGGAATGGAGTTTGGAAAGATAATGACATTTGGTAGTTCTTAAGTGAATTTATTGTGCAACCGTGTGCTTTGTACTAGACTTGCATTTTAAACTGTGTGTCGTAGAACAGAAAGTATACCCACAGCAGCCATGGAATTGAGCTGATCGATGTAGAATTCTGGCCAACTTGTTGCTCCCTTGTTTTCTTCCTGGTCCTAAAGAAAAAGAAAAAAAAGTGATATACCACCAGATGTATCCACACAACAGCCATAAGCACATCTGACTTCCAGAGCATCTAGACAATGGAACACACTGAGATAGATGAAATTTTCTTTAAATCATCAGACTGTCCACTTGACTAGGGTTGTCTTCCCAACCTGGTTTTCACTGAGAGTGCTAAAGTCTGAGTAAGGTGTAACATGAACCATGGATCAAGGGGAATTTAAATGGGAACTTAGCCACACCATGGTGTGATGCTGTTTTCCTTCAGGGGCACCACAGCATTGGGAAGGGCACTGTGTTTGTCACAAGGACCAAGGACCTTTGGCCTGTCACACTAAGGACGGTATTGCTGGACTATACAGCTGGGTGAAATTCACAAGAGAGGGAAAGTTGTCTTAAAAAATGGCCACAGGTTCAGCCAGTTGTTAACTAGACTTTTTCAGTTAGTTTATTCAGATTCTAGTAGACAGTACATATTTTTGAAGAAGGGTTTCATTGACGTGACCAAAACTAGGAACTGCTCGAGATGAGGAGTTAGAATGAAGCCCAACACTCAAAGGACGGAAGAGAACGAACACACATCATCAGTCCCAGGCCCAGCCCTCATGCTGGGGACAGCTTGTGACTCTGAGAAAATGTAACTGATCCGAGCTGAAGAGAACTGAAACCCAAGGAATCGGAAACCCATTCGGAAACCACTCCAGCCAGTCCTGCGTCTTACCAACCACGTGACTGGAAGCCAGCACCGGAGCCCCAGGGCTTCTGTGGACGGGAGATCTGTGCCAGACTAAACCCACACCTCCAAAAAATCAGGCGGCCATCAGAGCATCGAGTCCCTCAGAAGATGGCCTTGTGGTCTGGGATCTCCATGCATGTTTGCAAATCTGTGTGGCTACAAGTCATTTGTGTGATCAAACAGACTCGAAGAGGAAAATTTCAGCTATTCTCTAGCTTCACATTCAAAAAGCACCTTGGTATAATCGACATTCCCTGTCCCCTTGGAGAAGACGCTGGGCCAGGTACACGTAGCTGCTACTGGACAATCAAGTAGTTAGCACCTATTTACTGGTGTCAGAATCCCAATCCTTGGGATGGCAGTTTCAAGGTGTGGCTTTTAATTTCAGTCCTGTATTTTACCTCAAAAAAACACTTTCTCTAAGCAAATCTTTCTAGGCAGATACACTCGAGTAAGATAAAAGAAATATAATTTCAAAACTATTCTTTGAGTAGTCACAAAAAGAGGACAAAGTAACTATTGCTCACGGTGCCTTAAAAGTTGGCAGTAACTGATATCTCAGTTTCTGATACCTCTGGCCATTGCATGAATTTCATCTGCAGACTGAACAAGCCCGATGATGGGGACAAAGGCTACAGCAGTAGCTTTGAAACTGGACTGGATTACACTTCCACGGTTTTAAAAAGCTTAGGAAATCTGATGAGTTTTTACAACAGCCCTTATTATTTAACACGTTAACAAAATAGCTGTAATGGTAGTGTAAATGCTGAACCATTCTCTCCTCTTAAAATGGAGTATTAAAGTTAGCAAAACCCCACTGTTACCAATGTATTTAGCAAGCCAAAACCTACAGCGATATTCAATGGTATTTGAACCTATAAAATGAAACAGAAGGTGCCAGATCTTTCTATTCCCCCAAACTAGGGCAAATTTCCAAAACTACAACAAAATCATGTCCCATGTCCAGGGTCCCATGAGAGCCTGTCTGTTGTCAGCTTAATAGTCATGGTTACGGAAGAGACATCATTTTAGAAACTGAAGATTAGTATATAGAGAGATATCTTAACACTTTGGAAATGCTTTAATAACGTAAACAGATTAAGAGGAGACCTAGATACTGAAGTCAAAGTAAGGGGAAGAAAGCTTCATTTCACATGCCTCAGTGCTGAGAAAATCAAATGAGGTAACATATGTGAAAGCTTCTTGTAAATGTCCGAAGCGTTATCACTATATTCCCAGGGGTGATCCTCAGAGTTCTTCACCTTGGCAACGCACCTCCAGATTCCCCAGTGCACTCCTTGTCCTCCTATACAGATGTGTGCTACGGCAGCCAAGTGAAACTCACATCCGCGGATCAGCTCTCCGCTCCTACCTTGTGTGGCTGCTCGAGTCTGTGGTTCTGCAGAGGCACAGGCCAGAGGAGATGAAGGCAGCTGTTTCCCAGGAGTCCCCTAAATTGTACTGGACACTGAGACATGCCAAAGGGGAGACTCTCTCCTAGGAAGCCCGTGAAAGAAACTGCTGATGCAAGTGCAATGGGTCCTATGTGTTACCAGCCTCTAACACATATTATTCTTTGAGCCATCTGTCTCAATTCTATTTATTTGTTCTAGAGAAACAAGTGGAAAAATATACAAGACTGTATAAATTGTATTAGTTGTAATGGAAGCAACAACAATATCCAAGACATAAACAGCTTACTATGTGTTGAGCACCGCATAAATAGCTTACGATGTGCCAAGCACCACGCTCTTCATTTAATCTACTCTGTGAGGTAGGTGCTGTTATTATACTCATTTCACCAAATAGGAAACAAAAGGCAGAAAGAGGATAGGTGAGTTGCCAAAGGTCATCCTGCTGGAAACTCAGTGTCGGTGGGAAAGAATCAGGGCAACCTCTAAGATTAGACCTCAGATTAATCATAAGCAATATACATTAAATGCAAAGCTGCTCTTTACTCTTAACCACTTCACTATAAGAAACTCAGACATGGCTAGTGTCCAAAAATGAGTTTGCCTTCCCTAAACCCTTAGTGCTAGCTATTTTTGCTACATTCAACATTTCTGAATATTATTCTAAGGCCTGATGTCTTACCCAGGTTACCTCTGATGCCCCTCTCTAGACTCTTTCTGTGGGAACTCTTCTGCCTCTCTATCTTTATACATGTGCATACAGACAGCACTTCAGAAGCTTTCCTAACCTCTTCTCTTGTTCTGTTCTACACCTCAGTCTCAAGGCCATCGTCACGGGAATTTCTCAAGAGCACTTGCAGAGGAGCTGAGAGCATGGAGCAGTTTGGACAGTGGAACTGTCAACAAACCCCTCCCTAAACCATACACATCTCCCCCTACTTTTGGCTCTCTCCTTCACTGATTCCATTAGAACTTTTCTCTAATAAGCAAGAATGTTGGCTTCATTCTATTCTTTTTAAAAGTGGGGGGGGGGGGTGTTTCCCCCTACTTTTAAAACAGATTGTTGGTAACACTTAATGACACCTAGAGAAGGTGGCCTAAGGAAATACAAATTCTAGCAATCACATTAAATGCTCTTTTTATTCTACCTACAGAATGGATAATTCATATTAAAATCTAGTTTTGTTCCCCCTTGAAAATGTTATAAGCATTTAAGTTTATCTGCCTATCTTCAGAAGGCCTATTAGACAATTAAAATTGAATTGATATAAACATTTTATGTTATTGAATTCTCCACTGATTATTGAGAATATTTGTAAACATCGTTCCTTTTCAGAGAGATGATACAGCCATACGGTGGAAAGATGACCAGATAGGCCATCTAAAGATCAGATACCATAACTCACTTTTTGGTTTACTCAATTGGAATTTTTTGGTAAGTTTGAATATCTCTGGGCCTCATTTTCCTTCTCTCCAGAATAAGAGGTTGAGACCAGACTGCTTCTAAGGTCTGTACAAGCCCTAAGATTCTACATAAGTCTGATAGCAAGATGTCATGGAAAACGCAGTGTGTGTTGTACTTAGTTTGAGGGCCCAATTTCTAAAATCAATAATTTTAAAAATTTATGTTGTTCAATGACTCAGTTACAAAACCTTTAACTTTCAACAGCTACTTCCTTTACAAGGTAATTGAAGGGAAAAAAAAAATCTCAATATTAATTATTTTATTATTTCTCTAGTCCAACTCATCCTGTTTCCTTGGTAGGTTGACAGTCATCAGTAAGAGCATATTCACAGACAAAATTTCCTGCTGGGGGCCAGCCCAGTGGCGCAAGTGGTTGGTGCGTGTGCTCCGCTGCGGCGGCCTGGGGTTCGCTGGTTCGGATCTCGGGCGCGCCTCGACGCACTGCTTGGCAGGCCATGCTGTGGCAGCATCCCATTTAAGTGGAGGAAGATGGGCACGGATGTTAGCCCAGGGCCAGTCTTCCTCAGCAAAAAAAGAGGAGGATTGGCAGATGTTAGCGCAGGGCTGATCTTCCTCACCAAAAAAAAAAAAAATTTCCTGCTGGATGGAAACTCTGTCACTCCTTTTCCTTTCGGCCTGCACAGACTACAGTTTTAACTTCTTTTCTTGGTTGTTCACTTTGTTCTCACTATCTCAAATTCTGAAAAAACAAAAAAGCAAAACAAAACCTCCTTTTCTAGAGAAGGGAACTTGTACATTACAAGGGACCTTTAAGAACATTGACTTTTTTTTTTTTTAAATCAGGCTTCAATTAAGCAATTCATTTAGAAGGTACAGTAAAGAAAGTAAGGAAATACATAGTCTTTCTAACCTTGCTTCATTTCTTTTTTTTTTTTTTTTGTGAGGAGATCAGCCCTGAGCTCACATCTGCCAATCCTCCTCTTTTTTTTCTGCTGAGGAAGACTGGCCCTGGGCTAACATCCGTGCTCATCTTCCTCCACTTATATGGGACGCCGCCACAGCATGGCTTGCCAAGCAGCGCATCGGTGCGCGCCCGGGATCCGAACCAGCAAACCCCGGGCCGCTGCAGTGGGGCACGTGCACTTAACTGCTTGCGCCACCGGGCTGGCCCCTAATCTTGCTTCATTTCTAACTGGCACATTTTTCATTCCAAATCTCTGGTCAGTGGCTAATAAAAAAAATTCCAGAAGATCCTCCCCCATCCTCTTTAAATACACAACAGTGCATTTATTTTTCTCAACATCACTTTACCCATAAGAATAAATTGTGCATTATTTCTTTGTTTGTACTCTTTCTGGGGTAAACATTCACAGCTATATCCCAGACTTCTGTCTCTCACTTCATTATCATCTCTCTTTA